CCGGGCCGCTCGGGTCTGTGCTGGCGCACGCGCGCGCGGGGGCGGCCCCACCGTTTCTATTTGCGCCGGCCGCGCCCGCGCCGCCGGCGAAGGTCCGGCGAAGGTCCGGCGAAGGTCCGGCGACGGCATCGGCTCGGGGCGCGGCACTGTTTGAACGGCGGCCGTCCTGGGGTCGGCAGTCGTCCGCTGCGGTGAAACCGGCCCCGGCGCCAGATTCGGGACGGGGCTCGCCGACGGCGGGGGATCGGCCGCGCATGCCGCCCGGAGACGCCCTCCTCGTGATCCGCCGCGCCGAAAGAAAGCACGGCCACTTTCCGCGCGGCGAACTTCACGAGTGGTGTCTCCTGACTCACAGCCTGACGCGGACGTGAGGTCGTCGCCAGCCGCAGCGACACCGCACCATGGCATCAGCTTCGGTGATTGTGAATCGGACGGCGAGAGGGAACAGAGGAAACACGCACGTTCGACCCCGCATCTGCGCTTCGCCGCGATCACTCGGGGCGCCTCCCGGGGCGCCGCTGCCTCGCGCCCCCACACGTTTGACCCCTGCGCGCGCCTCTGACCGTGACCTGTGACCCTTGACCCGGTCCAGTGAACCGGCCAAGGGCGCCGACGAGGCTGTGACCGACGCGGACCGGACTCCGGCGCGCGCCCGTGTCGCGCAATTAGCGCGCCTGCGATGAGCCGATAGTCCTGTCCCGGAGTCGGTCCGCGGCCCCAGCGGCTGCCCGTCCGGCAGCGGGCGGCGGACGGGCAGCAGGAAGAGGGAGGAGGAAGAGGAAAGAGGGGAGGAAGAGCACAGGGGGAGGGCAGGAGCAGGTAGATGGAGGACGGGAGAGGAAAGAGCGACAGAAAGGGAAAAGAGTGTTAAAGACAGGGAGAGAAAGAACAGAGAGATGGTGTGTCAGATGAGGGAGAACAAAGTAAGAGCAAACGGGAGCAATGGCAGGATACCAAGCGGACGGAGCACGGAGGGAGCGGTGACAGAGCAGGACGCAGGGCAGGAACATGGCGGGAAAGAGCGAGGGCAAAGCAGGCGCGGGGCGAGAGCGGCGGGAGCGGGAGCGGCCCGACCCCCAAGGCGCGTGGGCAGGCCGGCACCGAGGCCGGCAGCGGTTGACCCCGGCTGCGGAGGTCACGCGGGGCCGGCCGGTCGGAGACGGCGTGGTTGAGGTCACCAGCGCCGCGCCAGTCTCGCCTCGGCAAGAATGACAGCGTGACTAGAGCGGTGGGATGACGAAACTGCGCACGGCTCGGAGGAGACGTTCTATGACGGAGCTGTGTGAGGGTTCGCTGGGGACGCGGCGTTCGGAAGGGACGGCCGTGAGGGGTCGGAGATTTGGTTGGAGGAGCGGGCGCAATGGTAATTTGTGGTTGCGGGAAACATGTCTGATGGGATTTGGGATTCCCTTGAGCAGGTAGTCACGGCAGAGCATGACACGCGACTAAAGCCATTGAGCAAAGTATCGGCGAGTGGAATCCGTACAAAACAGCTGATAATACTAAGCAGAAAGGAGGATATCATGCAATCGTGAATCAGCACAACCATGGCGCCCATTATCATTGGCCCACAGACCCAGCTACATCTCCGCTTCTCCGCAACCTGACCCCGTCAGCATCACCTTCATCACCCAGGCTCCACCCGTGTCTGACATCTGTCTGACGGCCCTCCACCCGCGGTCTGCCGCCGCCTGCCCTCCCGTTCTGCCACCTCCGCCGCCTGACCCGGCCGCGCGCTGCGCAGTACTCCCGTATTTGTCGGCAGCTGTCCGCGGGCGCGGCGCAGCACCACCGGCCGACAACATCCCGTCACGCTTCCGTCCAGCAGCGGCGGCGATCCGCGGGTCCCCGCGGGTCCGCCAGTCCGTCATCCCGGCGGCCGGCGCCGGAGGCGGGAGCTCGGCCGCTCGCCTGGACGCCAGCCCGCTCAGAGGCTGCCGTCGACACCGGAACAAGCCAAGGCTAACCGGGCGCGCGGCGCCGGTGGCCGGCAGCGCCGCGCGTGCGGCTCACGGGGGGGGGGGGCGGGCCGATCGGGCACCCACCTTGCAGCTTGCGCTCCGTGTCCCAGAACTTCTGTAGCTCGGTGAAGTACTTATCCAGGATGAACACCTTGGAGAGGCCGAGTGTGGCCATGTTCGCGGACACAGCTCGCTCAGACGCGCCACGGACCGCGAGGGCGCGCGGCCGCCGCTCGCATCACGACGTCGGGCGGGCGGCGGCGATTTGGCACATTGACACGGCACGAACGCGACGACCCCAACGCGCTGCCGGCGGCCGGGCGCTAGCACTGGCGGCCGGTGCGCGCGGCAGTTGCGCACCGGCCGCTCCAGGTGGCAGCAGCGGCGCGCGCGCGCGAGCCGTCGTGATTGGTGGGGTGTCGCCGCTGGCGGTGCACCGATGAGGCGGCGCCGGATTCCGACGGACGGCGCGCTACGGACGGTAGAGGCGACGCCAGGTGGGCGTGTGGGACGGCAGAGGAGGAGTCAGCGAGATCACCAGGGGAGGCAGTGGTGTTGGGTGACGAAATTAGGGAACTGAGTCGACGCCGGGTGTTGCGGGAGGGGCAGAGGCGGCGTCAGCACCCAGTATTGGGGAAGCAAAGGCGTTGACAGGTGGGACAGTTGAGGGACGAACAGGCGGTATCAGACGAGAGCATTTAGGGAGACAGAGGCTCGGTACTCATAGTGCCTGCCCCTGGAGGGTGAGGGGGGGGGGGGAGAGCAGAGGCGGTGTCGGTTTCGTAGTACAGGAGGGGTGAGACGCGGCCCGTCGAAGGAGTAATTCCATACAGGTCATGCCGGCAAGAAGTGACGTGGTTGGTGCTATTGTGTTGCCGTTGGTGTCGATATTTGGTGTGAAAATACTCAATTTGGTGTGAAAATACGCCAACAGGTCTGATGCAGGTCACTTTGGCTTGCCACCGCTATTTTGCATGTATTCACGTAAGGTTCCATGTCCTATTATCAGGGAGCTTGAATGCATCCCAGGGCGGTTTAAAAGCAAAAGTAAGTGAAGACAAGACGCCACTCCAATCATCGTTGAATGCCCAAGTTTTCGAAGCATTTTCGTGTTGCTTAAGGTTTCGTAGCGATTAAAAGATCGCAGAGTTCGATGCAAATCACGCTAACGGATTTTCATTCGGAGCCTTTCTATTCGAACGGGACATTATCACGGCCAGATTTGATACCCGACCTGTAGCATATTGCATTTATCCACAGAAAAACTATCGCTGTGCATTATAAGTGGTAAATCGATATTCCAAAACATGCATGCGTCAAGAGGTCACGCATCATGTTATTTGGCATAGTCGAGTGAATCGACTTGACATCAACGCACACCAGAGGACCTCCTATGTGGTTTCTCCAGTCGCAGCTCTTGTCTTAGCGCGGAGACAGACCATCCCGCGTCTTTGGCTCGCTCTTCAAAACATCGCATTGTATTGTATAATATGGCATCATATCATACTGAGTTGTATATTAAGGTCATCATATCATATGCTAGCCACACACGCTCGTGCTCCATGCTTGGCTCTGGGGACGTCGATTCCTATCAATAAGCAAACGACGCTGTTTACAAGTGCCGACACATTCTTGCAGCATTCACGCTCTTCAAAGTCAACTGATCTGTCGAGCCGGACACGGAAAAACGAGCCCAAACATCAGTGGATAATTACGAGTCGAAGCCTTCGGGAGATAACATCCGGAATCTCCGAGCGGCAGCCACCGCCGCGGCACCTGGCGGTCAGAAGCGCGTATCGATTCAAGCCAGGTGTTAATTCAAATTTTTTCACCGGACGAGTGATGTCCTTGAAGTTCGCCGAGGTCCAGCTGCCCGGTTCCGATTTCTCGCTGCAGCCGCGTGCCTTTTCGCAGGGCGGAACCGCCGCGTCCTTGACGGCGCAACTCCTGCAGCCCGAATTACTGGCAGGCGGAAAACACCTGTTGTTCGGAACGCGCTCTTAATTCTAATTGCATCGCCTCGGGGCTGTGCAGCTCACCTCGCTGGTGATTACATCGCAGACCGCCATTACTGCACGAGCTAACGTGAATACAGTGCCTTTTCAACACTGAAGTGCCTCTCAGGTGCCCGCCACGGATACCACTGGAGGACGCTGAGAAAAGGTGGTGTGACAAAGGTACCGGGACATTATCTTCCGTGGGTGGGTGGGACCTTTCTCATGGCCACGAACGAGCCTGGCATTTCTCCAGACTGCGGCAGCTGCGGGGATTATGAGGCAGACCGGCAGTAACGATGGTGCCTAGCCGCGAGCGACTAGTGCTGCAGGAGTGCTGCAGGAGTGCTGCAGGAGTGCTGGAGGAATACCCCACAGACAGGGGAGCGTCGACATGGCGTTTATGCCGCATCAGAATACCGTCCTCAAGGGGAAACTCCCCCCCCCCCCCCAAAGCAGTAAGAATGCTAAAAACCTGGCCACTTTGAGCGTTGTGAGAGCTTAGTGGGGCGCATCGTTCGTGTAACGTGGTTGGTTAGCTGGTAACCGTTCCCGCCCGCCGCCGTGAAACGTGCCAGTGTGACACAAGCTTGTGACAAAGTGTGACAGAGCCGGCCGCCACAAGGCCGGACGCCGGGCAGCCAGGAGGACGACGCGAGCAGCCGCAACGATCTTCCCCTCCCCCTCCGCCGCCGCGGGAGAGTGCGGGAGTGGTGGTCGGCTGAGCAACTAAACCGACTGAGAGACCTGCGTTCGAATCCCGAACGCTGCCACAATATTGCAAAAGAATCAGAGCGAAGACCGGCGCAAGGCACCGCGACTCGAATGGTCTCAGCAGTTTAACGCCTCGACAAACAACTCATAACTATTACCAAAGCTCCGTCGGCACAAAGCGCCGGCTGGCGGCCGCGGAGCGGGAGTGGGCGTGAGGGGAAGAGGAGGGGGAAGAGAGTGAGGGAGGAGCAACGTCCTCGGCGGCGCGCACCACTCATCGGTAGGCACTGGCCGACGAGGCAGGCCCGCGGCCTCGGAAGACGGACGGCACTCACAGGCGGCGCGGAGCGCGTGAGAGAGAGCGCGCCACTTTGCGGTCGCCGCAGTCCGCCAGCTCTGCCGCCGGCCAGACCACCAGGGACCGCGCGAATACGAGGACGTATAATGAGCTCCGCGGATTTCCAGCACAGCTGTCGACCGCTCCTACAAGCTGTTGAACATCGTAAGGAGGTGAAGTTTTTGGGAGTTCGATTGAAGAGTGCTTCCATTAACGTCGTTAATGGGAAATGCAGAGCGGTTCTAAATCCGGGGTTTCGAATGGCTGATATGGGTTACACAAATAGCGTCTTTTGAGGTTCCGTATCCTCAGCCAACGCTGGCCTTAAGCCTCGAAGACCCACTCACCTCCGTGCTGTTTGCAATGAAATGTCGAACAGCTACAATAGCGGTGTGTGACACGCTGAGATGAGTAGTAGAGTGTGTGGACAATAGAGATCCTTTAGTCCAGCCTTTGCATGTGTGGCGAGCTTCATTCATAGACAACTCTCAAACACGTGGTCTGGTCGCATTAAGGATGAAAAACTCCGTGCAAATGGCGTTTCTTCACCATGAGTCAGGACTCCATACTTGCTAAAAACATAAGGCGACTGATTGCATCACCTTCAGCCATCATTAACACAGGACATCTGGCCATCTCCAAATAAGCAGCACCGTCCCCTGCCGTTGCCGCTGCGTGCTCCGCCCCTCATGTGCTCACTATTGTAGGTCTGCCCAGCCCTCCCGCTGCCTGGCAGGGCAGGCGACTCCTGCTCCACATTCCTCTGGCCCACGCAGCATGAAGCGGAAGCGCTCGACCGGCCGCCTGGAATGCGCGGCCGCGGGGGTGGGGGGTGGGGGGCTGGTGTCGTCTCGTGTAGGACTGCACGGGGAGCCGCTCGGTGCACCGCCGGTGCTCTCGGGCGCGCTGCGGCACCCTGCGATGCGACGCCGCCGCATACCTGGTGAGCAAGACGCCAGAGACAAGGTGCGGACGCTCGCCTGCTCGCCAGGCACGAGATAAGTAGTCAGGCATGAGGTGGGGAACGGGGGAGGGTCGGGCGGAAGGCAGTACGGCACTGCGGGGCCGTGGTCGGACGCCGGGCCGCTGCCATGTAAAGCAACAATGCCCGGCTCCTCACTGACACAATACTCACTGGAGGGTTGCTGCTTCCTGCTTCTCGTATGGCGTCATAGTGACTGGTTACGCACAGATGCCTGTACTACAAGGCGTAGCAGCTGTTGTGACGCACTCACATGCGGCAGCACACAGTGAAGCGTGTGGACGTTGTTTAACAATGGAAAACAGGGCCGTGAGTTTGCTGAAGGCGCACTGGTCGCTCCGGTAGGTTAGAACCCTCCCCTTCGTCCCCCCCCCCCCTCCCCCCTCCTCCGTGCCCTCCGCTCCCTGAGCCGCTCCCTCTGTTCCCCAGCCCTGCCCAGCGGATATAAGTCACTCCAAACTAGTCCTGAGTGCAGGGGTCTACAAAGGAAACACGCGCCGGAGGGCACGTCAGCAGCCGTTAAAATAAGCCCGCCGTCCTGAGATCATTTACGAAGGCACGTGAGCGCGACACGCACCGGCCCTGCTCTGACTCACGCCGGTCCTCAGGAAGGAAAGTCAGGTGCGCAGCGCAATGGAAGATGCCGACAGATTGAGCCCCTCCGTCGTATGTCTGTTATTGGGAGACGCCGCCCCTGTCCACCCCTGTCCCCACCCCCCTTCACCCTTGTACACCCCTGACCACTCCTTTCCATCGTTACCCACCCCTGTCCACCCCTGTCCCCCGCTGTCCACCGCAGTCCGCCGCTGTTCACTCCCGTCCAGAGTAGTCCCCCTCGGCTGGCACACCATGGCGTGCGGCTTCGTATTGACTGACAAGACTGACACAAGTGACCAGCCAGCTGCGGGCAGCCGAATGGCAGACCTCGGCGAGCCCCTGACCGTGCCGGCTCCGGCAGCACGGCTGTCCCACCACCTGCCCTGCTCCCCTGCGATAACGACACTCCACTACAGCGCCCGTCTGACGACTCCTCTGCTCCCACCACTTGCCCTGCTCTCCTGCGATAACGAAACTCCACTACAGCGCCCGTCTGACGACGCCTCTGTTCCCACCACCTGCCCTGCTCTCCTGCGATAATGACACTCCCCCACAGCGCGCGTCTAACGACGCCTCTGCTCCCGCCACCTGCCCTGCTCTCCTGCGATAACGACACTCCACTACAGCGCCCGTCTGACGACTCCTCTGCTCCCACCACTTGCCCTGCTCTCCTGCGATAACGACACTCCACTAGAGCACCCGTCTGATGACGCTTCTGCTCCCACCACCTGCCCTACTCTGCTGTGATAACGACCCCCCCCCTCCCCCCACAGCGCCCGTCTGACGACGCCTCTGCCTGGGCTATTTTTGTATGACCTGACCCCGCCTGACGCCGCCCTTCAGCAGCGTTAGACTGATTCGGTCACCGGGCACCCCACCTCCCTGCTCCCCCGCACATCTCACCTGGCATCGCCTCTGTTTCGCGCGTAATTTACCTGACACCGCCCCTGCTCGACCCTCGCCCTCTATGCAGATGACGTGCGTTGGCCGGCGCAGGTGTGCTGGCTGAATCCGCCGCCTCGCCGCCGGGCCACAGCCTTCAGAATGTCCACAAATTACAACCCAAGCGCGTAGTGGGGTAAGCTGAGCCCTCGAATGAAATATGGATGGGAGAGTCGGGGGTGGCTGCGTCCATTCAGCCAGGAACGATTGCATGGACGACGAGAGGTTGGCGACCGGCAGGTATCGCACGAGATACGCACGAGGACGTGGAAGTAGAGACGTGTGCTTGCTTGAGCAACGGTGATTCTGCAGCTGCCGATTACGACAATTTTCGCGTTGTCTCCCTTAAACCGTGTCTCAACTCGAACTGAAAACGTTTTCTCACCCCGGCAATTATCACCCTTGATTGTCTGTCGCCAGTTCAGAGCAAGGTCCGGCACAACATCGGTGCGGAGAGCGGCGTCGGGGATGAGGCCGCCATCGTGACGCCGATATCAAGATCGCATACCGCATAGCCTATGCTTATGCAGCAATCACAGCCCACCACCCGTCTAGATCACAGCTACCGGTTTCCAACGCAACGCCAGCCGGGGCCCGTCGTAATTATATCATCGCATCTTCAGGCAAGACAGGTCAGCATTTACTGCCATCTAGTGAGTAAGGAAAAGGATGGAAGTTGATATGTCTGGCGTAAAGACAGAGATACGCGATCATTTAGCGAATTCGATGCTTCGAAGATTTTGTGCATTCTTCCCCGCACATTTTTGTCGTACTCAAATGATGCAGCCACTGTGCTGCTGGATTTACTGTTCAGCTGTTTTTGCTGTACTGATATACGCGCTGTATATATGAGTGTATCCTATGGAGGACTTTGGGGTATCTTTCATGTTGCCAACGCGGTATTTTTGCCCTTTCTTTTAGTCGTAACACCAAAATGAATGTTATTCCTTACGCATTCCAACTTCGTTTGATTCCTAGTCGGATTATAAGCTCAGATCCTGATTGGCCTCTGTCAGTCTCTCAAGCAGCGCTGCACCCGTGTAGCCTCGAGCCTTGTGTAGTACAGGGCTGGATATCGCTCTTAAGGGCTCACTGTCGGGCACTGCCGTATGTACTAAGAACATGTCTGGTCGCCAGATCCGGGCGACAGCCAACCCTGCATCTTTACCATTCACTCCCTCATGCACTTAACACTGGCTTACCTGTCATTGTGGAGCCGCTGGTAGATGACTAGCCCATTCGGTGAGGGTAAAGACTCCGCCGCTCCTCCGTCCCTTCAATTTAATGAGGCGCCACGGCCACGGGGTCCCGCGACGCAGCACCCTCCCGCTGAATAACAGCACGGATCGGACTCCTGACGGACTCACCTGAGTCGAATGACTCGTCGGAGCATGCCGAGCACTCGCAGGGCTCCAGCGACCCGGACCTCCTCCGTGTTCGCCGCAGCGGTCCGTGCTCCTCGACCCTGCTCCTGCCGACCACCGACTCAGTGTCAATGGGCACCAGCGGCCGACAGCGAGAGGACAATGATCAACAACACGGACCCACACCATGTCAGACGGCGAGCAAGACAGCCATCCGTGAGATGGCCGACGGCAGCTGCAGTGAGCAGCGGTCAGTGGGCACGGCTGAACAGAAGCGCGCTCCAAATCTGCTTATCTAATATCCATTCAGGTTAGCACTTGACCATCAAAACAAGCCCATGAGCTGATAGTTGAATCATGAGGATTGTTACTTTGCCTTTCCCCATCCACTTTTTCCTTAACCTCGATTCGGCTTCGTGTAAAGCCTGGAAGTATTGGGGGCGTAGCTGCCATCAACTGAGCTTCACAACGATTTACGCCGGTAAGCATCGACTCCGTTCGCCTGCTTGTGGTTTTGGCGAAGATCATTCCCCACAGCCCAAGCCCAGCCGCAGTCAGCGCCGGCTCACCTGGCAGGACTGCCGGCGTCGCACGGCTCGGCGCTGCGACTGCGCGCCTTGCGTCGCACGTAGCTCTCGTCCTTGACGCGCGTCTTCCAGCGGCCGGAGGTGGCGGCGGCGCGCCGCCGTGGGGGCGCGCCGTCGGCGGCAGACCGCCGAGGCATCGTGTCTCGGTCGGAGCTGTCCAGCCCACGCAGCTCCTCCTCCGTGTAGAAGTTGGTGTAGCTGCGGCGCAGGCAGGCGTAGCTCTCGGGCCGGCCGGGCTCCGCGGCCGCCGACCGCGGCGACGCGTCCGCCGAGCTCGACGTCACCTCGGCGCGGTGTGACGTCACACTGATGTGTGGCGTCACCTCGGAGAAGCGTGACGTCGACTCAATCTTTCGTGACGTCACCTCCACCGGGTGTGGCGTCACCTCAGGCGGCGGCCGGTACGCCGGGCACGGCGAGCGGACCATGACGCAGTAGCCAGTCTCCGCGCGGAGCTCGGGGTCGGCGGCCGGGATCCAGTTGTTGCACGCGTCACGCTCGGCCAGCTTGCGCGGCTGCGCGTACGGCGGCTCCCCCTCGCGGCGCGCGCGCGCCGCTATCTCCTCGTCGATGTTGCGTTCGTTGTACGGCCCGTCGTTCATGCACAGCACGTGCACACCATTCACGTACACCTGCGTGGTGGCGCCCGAGTCCGAGTAGATAGCGCCACCATTGTGATTATAGATATCTTTGCCGTCATTAGTATAGGTGGCGCTAGGTCTGCGGTCATAGCTGTCGCCGCCGTGCCACGCGTCTTGCGGGGGGCCGATCCAGACCGCGTCCGGCGCGCAGTGCACGGTGCCATTGACGGAGACCGGCCCGGAGCGCTGCACGTCCCCAACAGCCACCTTGACGGCCGCGTACCTGCCACCGCCGCTGTCGGGTGGCAGCACCGTCGCGTGGTTGTCCCACTGGCCGCTGAGCGGCAGCACGGTGCGGCCGTCGGGCAGCCGGCGACCGGCGCGGCCCAGCGCCAGGTCGGCGGAGCGCGGCCGCGGCACCGTGTCGTAGAGGGCGCCCCGCTGGCCGCGATACAGCCAGCCTGTCTTGAGGCCCTCGTCGCGCGTCTTGCCCCGCATCTTGCGGCGCAGACTGACGGTGCGCTGCAGGACCGACGACACTGGAACACGACAGCAGAGCGGCGTCAGGAGCGGCACAGCTGCTGGGGACGGCGGACGCTGAAGCGGCCCAGGCACGGCCTCACAACCTTGGCGACAGCAACGGGAAAGCGGGGGGACAGACACAGAGCGGTAGCAGAGAGCCAGGGAAGTCACCGAGGGTAACCGAGCAGCGGAGAACACCGAACAATATTGGGCGGTGTGGCGCACAAGGCAAAGACGGCCGTGAACACAGCGTGTTACATGACGGCGATCCGGGGCGGGAGTCGGACGAGCGCGTGTCACGCGGCAGGCACGGCTGAGCCGCACTGGGCGGCAAACGGGCGGCACTCCAGCGGATGTGGCAAGCGTCTGGAAGCTGACTGTGAGCCCGCTCCGGGCTCTAACAAGGGGCATGGGTATACCAGGAGAGGCATCAGCCAGTGAAGGCGAGACGGCATGTTGAAGCGACCTAGGAATAAAGGAACTGTTCACGACCGAAGTTATGGAGAACGCGACTGCAGAACAATACAAAAGACGTTATCATATTGCAGGTACATGGTGAGCATTTGGCGTCTTTCCAATTTATAAATCAACTCATGACTGCAGGCGTGTAATCGCCAGACACGATGCGGCTTAGGGCTACACAGTGAAGGGCCACTAAAGCCATTCATTCCCATCCCAAGTGAAAATGAATCAGGGGATTTTAAGGCCATCAAATTTTATGTATGGGGCTATAACTTGCTCTATCAAACTGATGCACCCCGAAGTACCAATTATGGTAATTATATAATTGCAAGCGAATGCCATGAAAGTATGAAACAGATGGAGACATACGTTTTAATAGTTATTTGGTCAAGGATTCGTGGCACGTAACCCACAAAAGCTGTTCGTATTTCACGAACAGAATTGGCGTCCATACTGGCACGTACGTGCCTGCTTAAGCCCAAATAATAATTTGCTTGGAACCGAAGAAATAGATTGCACAACCGACATTAAGACCTCCCTGAAATAATCAGACTGCGCAGACGTTGCCGCCTACAATAAATGACAACGCTTTCCAAACCAACAACAAAACAATATTTTGAAGGGCGTGAATTTCGAGACAGGAAACGAAGCCTGACGCCCAGATCCTGCTCTATGGCGTTCCATCAGCAGCGTGCGCACCCGCGCACGCAAATAAGCCACTAACAAATGACGCAGTGGAGATGTGCTGACGACCAAGCGCCTTGCATCACGCAATGCCGCGCTTAAGTCACGGGAAGTGGGGCGCTCGCGCGCGCGCGCGTCTCATCAGTCAAAGGTCGCGCATCCGGACTGCATCGCGAACAATGGGAGGACATTTGGGCAGATGCGGGGTGTAAGGCGGCACCATCCATCAGGCAGACGAGATGCCCACGACCGTCCACCGAACAGAGCTTCCAACATCGCAGGTGACCCACCAGGCGCCATCAACTGTCTGACCAGAGCGCGCCAACGCGGACACGAGCGTCCCACGCACTCGGCGCACAGGAACTCCAAACTGTTCCGCCGTCGTAGACAAGCCATCGTCGAACTCTCTGGCTCGCTCGGCGGCGGCAGCTGCAACCGCAGGCGAAACCCGCCACGCCAGCCCAGTCCGACCGGGCGTCATTACCGCGGCGCTTTCGCGCGCGCGCGCTCCCAATGCGTTCCGCGAATGAAACGGTGTCAGCCGCGCCGGCACGCGCTTTGCGGCGCATCACTGGCGCTAGATTTGTCTGATGCGACCCCCTGACCGACCGGCTGGGGCCAGGGAGGATGGCGCAGCTGGCGCGCGCGTCACGTAACCTGCCGCCGGCAGCGGTCATCACCGCACCCGCTCGTTCCCCGCTCAAGCGGCAGAGGAGGCGCCACTGCCGTCGGCTGCTGCCCTTTGATGCCCGGCCGCACGTGCTCAGCTGCTGATGGCGCCCACGTCCGGTCGGTTAGAGCCGGATAGCGTGTCGACGGCGGCGACCGCCAGCGAACAAACCGCGCCGCCGCGACTGCTGCCGCCCCTGGGGCGCCGCCAGGAGGAGGGAGGGTGCACGGGCGTGGGGCGGGGGGGGGGGGGGCGGGGGCGGCGACAGACTGCAGTCGCGCACGTGTGCGCCGCGGGCAGGCCAGCGCCGCTTCCTGCCATTGTGACCGGGCAGCCACCGTCCCAACCCGGCCGGCGCGACGGCTGTATGGCGGGGCGGCCGACCTGCCGCCGAGAGGGCCAGCTGACGCCGCCGCTACCGGCCCGACCGCGCCCACGTGCCAGCGAGCTGCCACCGCCGCGCTGACACACGCCAGCCTGCGGCCAGACGTCCGGCGGTCACAACAGTGCGAACGTTTCGTTTGCTCGCCAGCTGTCGGCTTACAGTTGAAGTGCGCCATGGCGCTGTGGTGGCGGCGTGGATTGCGCAGTCGCGCGGCTGCGTGGCGCTCGGCCGGGCAGCGCACTGGGCTGGGTGCGCTGGCGGCGTGGAGCGGCGCTTGGACAAAGTGGCGCGGGTTCTGCTGCGGCACGGACGCCAGCCGGCCTGGCAACTATGAGCACCGAAAACAGGCCCCAGGAACAAGACGACTGATCAAGATACCCAACATTTTGCAGGACCGACCGTCGCCATGTCCTTCAAAGTGCTGGTGCAGGCTGATGCAGGCCTGGCAACTATGAATGGAATAGCATGCACTGACTGGTGCATGTCTGAAGTTTCTGATGCTAGCAAAGTCAGTTGGGAACACATCTGCGCTCGTAGTGCGTTCAGTAAGATGCGCGTGCATGACCCTGTGTGCATTGTGGGTAAGAAGTCAACTAGACAACACATGACAGCTGGCGACGAGGAGTACCCCGCACCGCACCAGTTTTGCGGGGTGCTCCACCGGTTAAAATCAGGCGTGAGCGTGCCTTTCCACACGCGCATGACCCTCACTATCTCTGCTGTTATACCTCAGAATTCGAAGCCATGAATCCACTCCTGCAGCACCGCAGCGCTCCCCGACGAGACGTGTGCATGTCTGGTGTGAGGCTGGCGATGCTCGCGGCGTCCGGCGCGATGCGGGTCATACGGGAGCGGAGAATGCATAGGGGACAGGGTACGAACAGCTGTGGTAAAAGCCCTGGCCCAGGCTGTTCTCAAACATCAAGTCCAGCCATTATTCTACTCGGAGTCAATGTTTAGGGTCATAGTATGGTGATATCGGCCACCAAAGTGCCGTATTCATAAATGCAGATAATGAGTAGCCGAGAATACCCCCAAGGCGTCAACGATACGCTTGTAACGTTGAATTTCGGGGCCAAAGGTTAACCAATTTTTCAGCAGTGCATAATTTTATGACGTTACGGGACTATTCTGTTTGGCTTCGGGCAAATCGCATTGCCTGAGCTAAGCATTATGCACGCACGGACAGAAGAACAGCAAACACAACGAATTACCAAAGGCAAGGAAACAAAAGCAGCCATTCAAGAGCCCGAGTCCAAATTAGACCACAGCGAACTCATCTATATACGGTAATTTGTAAGCGGAACGCGCGCTCTTAAACGATCACATTACCTGCCGAACATTAACAGTACCGGTCACAAATCTCCTCATTAACAAAACTACCGTCTTGATGCCGTATCCCGGCTTTTGAAGCGTTCGCAATCTAAAGCGTTCACAAACTAAAGCAGGTCACCACGGTAACACCGCCGCGGTCACGTCTGGTGTCGCCACTTCGCCGTGACAGAGGAGGCATTCTTCGCCGGGCCCGAGCGTCCCAGCGCCGGCCAATTGGTCAATTATGGGCTCTGTTTTCACGCGGCCTATAAAACAATGCAGGACACTAGGCAAATGAGGACGGGAAAGCCAGGCGCGCCGGCCCGACCGCGGCCATTATCTGGTGTTGGTCCGGCTTCTGGGGGGCGACGCAAAAACAGTAATAACACGATAGCCGGAGGTATGCGACCTTGCTCTGTGGACTGAGCTCTGCACAGCCGCCGATGGTCGGCTCTGGTGTGTGTTTAAGTGGCGGGGGCTTGGCGTGCCGAGCGAGCCTTTGTTCCGAGAGGAAACACACAGGAGAAGGTGGGCCGAGTTTGAGAGGGATAGCGAGAAACGAGAGCGCGCGCAGGAGAGACAGCAAGGGAGGAGGAGAGGAAAGTTCTGGACACGGCTTAAAGAAAGGGGGCTAGGCTTGTACAAACGAGCGACACACACGGAAATGGCAACAGCATGTTCATTTTTGGGTAGTAAATGATTCCGCGGTCCCAACCTTTCCCACCATAATGTACCGTATGCAAGTCAATTACGTATTCAGACAATATGCCATCGGCAGCGAGACAACGGTGCACCGGTTTCTATTTCCACATCAACCCATCGTAAAGATCGTCCGATTTTGCCAGCACCACTAAACGGCGCATTGTTTGGAACGGCGTAGCAGTTAGCGGCGTCTATCATTCAATCACACGACATAGGGCACCTCCGTTCGGGAGAACCAGCCAGGCGCGGCCCACATCGCTGGATCACCGCCCAGTATCGGAGTCGAACATCGATAGGTCGTTACCCCGTGACCTCTGGCATTGGCCGGGTCACCGGGGTCACCCGATAGCCGGTAAGTCGACCCACCCACTGCGCGGATGGAGACAGTCCACGCGCAGCGCCCAGCGAACCACGCTTTCTAATGGTCACGATAATTAGACAGGTCTCGTATAAATCGAGGGGCAGGAAACCGATCTTGGCTGCGTCGGGCGAACACAACAGTGCGAGTTGGTGTGGAGGTGGGGCGGCACGCACCGGGGGGGCGACAGTCGCGTCTTTGTTGATTCCGTTCTGAAAGCCGAACTGGACTGATGTCTGTCAGAACACCGCAGCGCGCTGGCAACGCGGGCTCGTGTCGGAGCCAAGTCAAACCAACCCATTCTTCACGGGACAATGCGCCACAGAATCGCCCTAAACACGCAGAACAAAGTGGGGGACAATGCAGTTCAAATAACATCGCAGCACGTGGGATACACAACTTCCCCTCTTTTGGCATGCGAAGTGGGGTCAATCCAGCTCAAGCCCCACAACGGCAGGTATGCAATGCATCGCCGAGAGTTAAACAGGTGGGAGGGGACGGCCGGGGTCAGGCGTCATCGTCTGATTTGAGAGGAGGACAAGCATGCCCGGAGAGCACGCCATCCATCACGACCCTGATAATGTGACAGTCACTTTCCAAACAGTGCGCGCCGTCGAGAGCTTGGAACTTCCGTTCAGGCAGCCGCACATTTCTACAAAGGAAAGAAGAGCGAGAAAACAAACTGCGAATGGGGAATATTATCGAGGGCGAAGTAGAAAAAGAAGCGGAGAGGAAGACAGCGGGGAAGCGAAAGAGAGGGAGAGAGATAGTTCGCTCCTTTTAATGGCTGCTTCTCGTCGGCGCATATCCTCGCCTATTTAGAAAGGTTGACACTCGTGAAAACCTAAGTGCATTTTGTTCAATGTAAGTCTAAACATTTTACTCTAAAACGTGTCCTTCCAACCAAACAGGTGCATAACAGCGGGAGTGTTTGCCCTGTTTATGTTCGTACATCTGTCTAGTGCTGCAACGCCGTGGAATGACACCTAACGAAATTGCCGTGGAATGACACCTAACGAAATTGCCGTGGAATGAAACCTAACGCACTCCAATGCGTGATGTGTCTTCAAATCTCCGAATTAGCATCCACACAGCATCCGAGAGCTTGCAAAAATTTGCAACATGTAAAGCGTACGGAGCGAATCTTCAATAGAGATGTCTCATGAATCTGGAGAGCATGTTGCAACCTTTTACGCATTCGCCTACATGTTTCACCACGCAAGTCGCCAGCCTGCCGATACAAGCGAATCTGAACAACGTAAGCTTCCATTTCACTGCGCAGTACTGTTCAAATACGAAACAAACATTGGAGACCGTCGTCCCAAGCAGTCCTCAGCGGTCGTAAGTGGGCGGGAGGCCCATCAGCTGGCTCACCACGGGCCGTGGGCGGGCCCGGCTCCAGCCCAGGCATGGACGGCCGGTCTGGATGAGTGTAGATACGGCGGCGCAGTCGTGTTTCCTTTGACGGAGGGCCGCGCTAAACACGCCCAATTAGCCCCGGACGGCGGCCGGCTGCACGCCACGCCACGCCGCAGGCTCGCCGACGCACCGGGAGGACGGGGAGCGCTGGCCGGTGGGGCGCAGTCAATGGGAGGAGGCCACAGCCCATCTCCCCTCCCCCCGCCCCTGCCCCAGCGCAGGCTCGCCGACGGACCGTGAGGACGAGCGCTGGCTGGCGGGGCGTGTTTGGCGGGAGGGACCATAGTCCCCCCCTCCCCCCCCCCTGCCCAGGCGGGAGGCGGCAGCAGCCATCCTGCTGTTTTGATGGTTTGTGTCCCGAGCAGTGCGTTCGGGTGCTCACATCAATCTTTTCCAAATTTCATCTTTTCCTAAGGGCGTTTTTCGCCTCCACCGTGCTAGTGAGAAGAGGCCCAAGGACATAAGAGAACGAGGCTTACTGGAGCCACAAAAAGAACGGCCGGATCACGTCGCCGGGTCAGAACACATTCGTCAGTGGGGACCGTGGGAGGATGCAAAAACAGATATTGCGTATCTTAGGACCACACGTTCGTATTGTAAAAGAGCTGCTGATTCATAACTTAAAGGTTGCCAGGTTGTTGTTAATTAGCGTTTCTGGGCGCGCCGAAAACAAGTTGCCAGGGTATATCATAACGATAATATTATTATCGCCATCGACGTCTCAGATGGATCAATTCGTGTTATTGTAACGGCTGTATGGAAGTGAACAGGCATATTCACGACAAGTTCACGCAAAAGATCATTTTCTTCAGTGACCAAAGTTTTTAGCTGAAAGGAAAGGGAGTGCAAAATGCAATGATGAAGGACGACAATATGACGGTCCTTATTTGCCTGCTACCAGCCAGGTCCTTTCCCCCGAATCCGGGGCCCCAATCTTCCACCGGGGCAATGCACATGAATGACCTCAGCTTCGGATCGCCGCCATAAAGCAGGGTCAGATAACCGTGTTTACGGACCGGAATCGATACAAATCACAGCCTGCACGCGCTGAACCACCATCAGCCAGCGGCACCCTCGGCGACCATCAGCCAGCGGTACCCTCGGCGACCATCAGGCAGCGGTACCCTCAGCGACCATCAGCCAGCGGTACCCTCGGCGACCATCAGCCAGCGGTACCCTCAGCGACCATCAGGCAGCGGTACCCTCGGCGACCATCAGCCAGCGGTACCCTCAGCGACCATCAGGCAGCGGTACCCTCGGCGACCATCAGCCAGCGGTACCCTCAGCGACCATCAGGCAGCGCCTCGGTGACCATCAGCCAGCGGTACCCTCGGCGATCACCAGCCGGGCCGGCGGGTAATACCAAGCCTCTGTCCAAGAGA